AAGTAACAAAGTGTCCTCTGCAGGGAAAATGGAGTCAGTTTGGTTCACAGGTCTAGCCTTACTCTGTTTCAATCTCATTAGCATACAAAAGACACTCATCACTCTGGAGATTCCAAGGCTTTTATGTGTCAGGAAACATGAAGACCAAATATATCTTATTATAAATAACAGTATCCCACTGAAACTTACCAAATTTATCCCTTTTCATGGAGCACCAGTGGGACTTTGCAGTTTGCAGAATGTTTTTGCTATGTATTGTCTGATTTGATCATCCCAACCCCATGCCAAAATCTAGAAATCACTATTTCACAAATGAGGAAACTGAGTCATTGCTTGAGCAACTAACTAAAAGTGAGAGAACTGGAAGTATACTGCTCTCTTCTGACTCTAAGTTAAAAATCATAAAACATTTAATGTCTCATTTTCAGGGGACCACTGCCTGTTTTATCCCTCTTCCCTAGTATCTGCTCTTTCCTTTTATAAAAACTTAACTCACTCATTTCCTCCACAAATCCTTTAGAGAAGTTACATCCATTTTCTCATGGTTTTAACTATTATCTGTTGAGGTATAGCATGCACAGAAGCCCAGGTCACTGGAGTGGAGCAAGANTAACTATTATCTGTTGAGGTATAGCATGCACAGAAGCCCAGGTCACTGGAGTGGAGCAAGAAAGAGGGCAGTAGTGAAGTAAGGTAAGTGAGGAAGGCCCCATCATACATGGCTTTGGATACTGTTTCAAGTACTTTAGCTTATACTCAGACGTCTCAAATGTGATGAAATTTATTTTCTCTTTAAGGTGGTGAATACTTATTCTGCTGAGAAGTAAAAGAGAACTTTGTGAGGAAGAAAATATGCCTCCCAAGTTCAAGCGCCACCTAAATGATGATGATGTCACTGGTTCTGTGAAAAGTGAAAGGGTAAGTTCAGAATCTTAAGTTTATGGCTGTATTCTAATCCTACTTGTTTTCTTCATAGTAAACATAGAGTATATGTTAAGTTAGATTGACTCAAGTGAGTTCTGCTTTCATTATTGATCAAATCATCATGCTCATAGCTTCTAGTCTTTCAAAGGGAATTTTATACAAATACACAATATCTTATTCAGAACTCTGGAGCCAAATGTATTTGGAATTCAAAATTTTTCAGATTTTAGAAAGGTAGTTAAATGCATATTATTAAAGACTGGGGTCTGGGCCAGCACCTCCAAACATACTAATATTTTTCAGTGAATGTATGATTATCTAACTAAATATATAAATAAAGTGTATAAATAAATTAGCTAACATCAGTTCAGGTTAGGTTTTCCCCCAAATGAGTTTTGACTAAACTTAGAAAACCTTTCGGTTTTCAGAACTTTTTAGGATTATAGATGAAGGATTCTGGACGTGTAATTGTCTCAGAATTCAGATTATCTTTTACATAATGCTTCAATTTCTAGTTTATTCCAGAACATTCTGTACAAATATGTATAAATCTAAAATTATGTAGCATTTTGGTAGTCAGCATTTGCTATGAATGTTGTAGACAGGTTACTTTTAGAATATGTACTCAATAGATATTTATTGAGGGAAGGAATTAGTG